TAATTTAAAACGAAGCTGCAGTGGGAGGAGGAATATTTTATGAGCATTATATTCCAGATATTTTTATACAATAAAACTATCCTTATCTCTCATTTATTAAAGAAAACAAAGCAAGTTTATATGGCAATAATATTCGGTCTAAACTTAGAGCAATTGAAATAGATTTAAGTAAAATTAAAGGAATATAATTCAGTTAGTAAAAACAAAATTATTTAAACATTTATGACTTTTAGAGTGGAGGGTATTTAAGCTTGCTAAATATAAGGTTAAAAGATGAAGAAGGTAACTACTTATAATTTGTCTCTCTAAATAATTTAGATATTAATAAAAATTTGCTATAGGAGCTTGAGAATTTAAATTTATAAGTGATTACTGATAATGATATTTTAGTTTAAGGCAGTTCTATCTCTAAGTATTAAGAGAATGGGCTTAATTTAAATTTTATTATAACATCTAAACCAATGATGAGAAATGTATTCTAAATTCAGTCAAATATCTTATTAGATTTTTAATCATCTTAGTAAGATAATCTCTAAAAGGGATATGTAACCTATTAAATTGAAGTCTAGTTTAGAAAATGCCATGTAGGTGAAATAAAAGTGGACTTTTCAAATAAAATAATATGTGAACAGAGCCCTGATGGAAAGTATTCTCAAAATGAAAGTGATTTAAGCTGCAAGTAATGTCCTAGCAGTGCTTAGTACTGTTATGGTTCTACTATTAACCTTCTTCCTGGTTATTGGAGAGCAAATAATAACACGGATGAGATTTTACATTGCTCCAACAACTAGCATATTTGTCAACCTCAGTAAGAAAAATCAAAAGTATTTAAATTTATTTTTAACACCGATAACTAAATTATAAAATTTTATAATTAAAAATTATTTTACTTATTTTTTAATTAGAAGAAAAAATAATAAAAATTTAAATAAAAAATTATATTTTAAAGTTTGGATGTGAAAAAGGATTTGTTCGACCTCTTTGTGAGACTTGCGACTTTTAAGGGAATGTTTGGGAAAGCAGATACTCAAAAGCGTTTTTATCTCTAAACTGCATATAATGCTCTGGATATATTGCTATTTTTGTCTTGAACTTTTTAATATTTTTTACTTTCTAGTTTCTATATTTGACATTTAGCATATACAAAATTATTGAGTAATCAGAGATGGTTTTGTTGGGATACTATTTAAAATTATTAGGAATTTTGCATCTGAGTAATTCAGGTAAAAATTAAATTAATCGTATGATAATATATTTATTTTTAAATTTTAAAATAAAAACAGTGTATAACTTTTAACAGCCAATTTTCTCCCAAACTTTAGTTGATCATATTTAAGTAATATCGGTGATAGATAAGTAATATTTAGATCTTCCTTAAATATTCAGTTTTGGTACTACTTCTATTGGTAATCCTCTTTAGATTTCTAATGGATCTTTGGATTGTTTTTTCCCTTTTAAATTTATTGATGGAATGGAATATTGGGTTTTTAGATTTATAATATCGCTTTTCACTCCTTTATCAATTATATTATTCCTCTTTTGCTTCTAAATTATTAGAAATGGAAAGAATTTTTACAAATCATACTTGAAATTTAAACTAACTAGTATCATTTATGTTTACATATTTTACTTCCCTTCGTTAGTAGCATTAATTTCTCAAACTATAAGCTGTAGAAAAATTGGTTCTAAAAAATATGCCTCTATTGACTTAAATATCGAATGCTACGATTTT